CTATGTTTGTTCTCTCCTCAGCATTCTCCTCCTCTGCTCTATTTTGCTTTTCTTCCACCTCCAGTGCCCTTTTCTGTTGCTGCTCAAGAGTTCTGTCTAAGAGTTCTTCTCTTATAATCTTAAATGTGGTCACTTGCTGCTCCAGTTCTTTCATTTTTTCTTCCAACAGTGCTACTGGTTTGCATTTGCTGCATTTATATTTTGAGTTGTTCTCGAGCACGAAGACAAACATTGCACATATTTTGCAGGTCACCATCACTGTCTCTTCCCTCCATAATCTCTGTTATCTTTATATTTTCTTCTGTCTATGAGTGCCCTTTGTCTTGTCTGCCTTGAAGGATGCTCTGTGCCTTGGTTCCCTCTTTCCTTTTGTCTGTTCTTCCAGTGATTTGAAGCATTTTGTAAACAAAGCAACTGTGAAGGGGGGTGCGGTTAGGTCCTCCCCTCTGAACATATTCAGAGTGGAGGAACTAGCCCCGAGGGAAACCACAAAGAAATCTCTTCAGACTTTGAAGCTCAAAGATTTTGGGTCCAGATGGCCTTCTCCTCCGTATACAGAGGGGAGGACTTAGCCCCACTCCCTTCATATTTCTCTTGTTTACGCTATGACAAGGAGTCTAAAAGGAGAGGTTTCTGATTGTGAGTAGGCTTCCATGATCAAGAACCCTGAACAATCTGGACTTTTCCTTTTGTGTAGAGCTGAAATGTGAGTAGAAACTTTCCTTTTCAGATTCCCCAATCATTATATGAACAAAGTAATTTGAGGCTACACCTTCCCTTCTGTGTAAATGAAACTGAGAAATCTGATAACTGAATAGAGCTGATGTCTACAGATAATATTGTATGGCCTAAATTTATTGATACTAATGAATGATCCTAACTAGACTAGCACCATTTAAGATGTCAGTGCCTTCTGCTGAGGCTTCTGCAGTTCAGCCCTGTTTCTAAAAATGAACCAACTAAACTAAAAAAAGATTTCCTGTGTGCCTTCATACTCATCACCAGATTTACTTAGTGTAGCCCAACCAGAGAGAGATGGTGACAGCCCAGAGGCCAAGAAGTTACTCATTATAGACAGGCTGTCAAGAAACCGGTTGGTTTCCAGGACTATCATTAACCATATATATATTATTTCTAAGAATAGGATGTGTATACGTAACAGATTTATTTCAGTGTCAGCTTTTGTGGATTAAAGTCCACTTCCTCAGACACACAGAAGGCAATATTTAGTTAACAGGTTCATATACACAATACTGTATACATGTTTGCTGAGGTAGGGAATCAAATAGAGAGATACAAACACAGATAATTAATGGTTGTTCTGGGTTTTTCGGGCTCTTTGGCCGTGTTCTGAAGGTTTCCCGGTTTTCCAGCCATGCTCGGACTCCCGGGAGTCCAAGCATGGCTGGGATAGGCAGGCGCGGCACGGCTCCCGGTGGCGGCAGGGTGGAGAACTCCGGATGCCTTCCAGGCAAAGAAGCATTGGAAGGCATCCGGACACCCCCTACCCTGCCGCCGCTTGGAGCTGCGCCGGGCAACCCCAGCCATGCCCGGACTTGGAGGATTTCTGCTTAGCGGTGAGTTCCCCCCCATGGGAACGCATTAAACGGTTTAATGCGTTCCTGTGGGTTTTTTTGCCCTGTAGCGACGAATCCAGATAGCAACGATTTCTCCGGAACGGATTATCATCGCTATGCAGGGCACCACTGTAATACTATTATGATACATTGTATTACTGCAATATTAAATAGTCTATATCTATGATTGTGTATCCTAAAATAAGTTAATTTAACAACGTCAATGGAATTAAAGTTTTGGATCCCTTCCTTGTCCCTCCAACAGGCACCCCCTGAAAAATATCTGGATAATTAGGAGGCTCTGTTGAACAACATAAACTGGACTTGGAAGAGTCCTGGGTGAGGAGATAACTTCTCAGAATTCTGCCACTGCCTTGTTTGGGATTATTTCTCCCTTCCCTGCAATTCCCTCCCATTGTCCATTCTACATTGTTCAAGAGGGCCTCCATCCAGCCCTCAGATATGCTTTTCAGGAGATGGTAATGGCTACAGAACCGAAGAGGGGGTGAGAAACTTTGCTTCCATAACCTCAGAAACCAGTTTATCCAAGGAAATTGGTACAGAATATAGTAACTATTATGGTCAGACACAAGTAGCTCTCATGTTTTTCTTGGCCTTAATACAGCTATCATACTGTGGGTTTTATAGTTTAAACAAAGTTGTTTTTTAAAAAGAATGTTTAATCTAATTATTTAAAAAGCGGTTTAAATGGTAAAATCTGGTTTAAAAATATTTTTACCTTATTAAATACAGTATCTGATTTGGGGGGTGTTGAGTTGAAATCAAAGAATTATATGTTTTCAAAATTCGGACGATCCTTTTCTAACATAATTAAACTGCGCATCATCATACTATATTAGAAATATGTCAGGAATTGTTCAAGTACAAAATTGTAGGCAACTAGATTTTGAATTCTGTGCAATTAAAGTGAGACATTAATAACAGCACATAGGTTTGGAACTGCCCATAAGAACTTAATGCAGTTCTTCCTTGAAGAAGATGATTTATCATCAAAAGCTCACTGTTTCATTTTTGCTTTTGTTTTATATTATTTATGGTCAATTAAAGGTATCACCTGCTCCTGCATTTGTATTGATTCTGATGTGTTTATGATTTTGTGCATTGTGGGGTACTCAGTCTTGGGTCCAATGCTCTTCAACATTTGTATTTATGACTTGGATGAGGGAGTGCAGGGAATGCTTGTCAGATCTGTGGTTGACACATTGTGTGGAATAGCTAATACCCTGGAAGACAGAAGCAAAATTCAAAATGGGCTGAAAACAACAGAATGAAGTTCAACAGGGATAAGTGCAAAGTACTGCTCAGAAAAAGAAATAAATGCAGTTACAAGATGGGGGATACCTGGTTCAGCAATACCAGAAGTGAGAAGGATCTTGGGAATTGTCGTAGATCACAAGCTGAATATGAGCTAACAGTGTGATGTGGCTACAAAAAAAGGCAAATGTTATTTTAGGCTGCATTAATAGGAGTATAGTTTCCAAATCTGGTGCGGTGCTAGTTCCCCTCTATTCAGCACTGATTAGGCCTCACCTTAAGTACAGTATTGTGTCCAGTTCTGGACACCACACTTCAAGAAGGATGCTGACAAATTAGAACAAGTTCAGAGGAGAGCAACAACGATGATCAGGGGGCTGGAAACCAAGCCCTATGAGGAAAGACTGAAAGAATTGGACATATTTAGCCCTGAGAAAAGAAGACAGAGGGATGATATGATAACACTTTTCAAATACAGTGGTGCCTCGCACAACGAGCGCCCCGTAGAGCGATGAATTTGCTCTACGGGGACGTTTTTTCGATCGCTAATGCGATCACAGAGTGACGGTCCCAATGGGCGAAAATCGCAGAGCGAAGGTCGGTAAGCGGTTCGCTTACCGACCTTCGCTTTACGACCCGCCAATCAGCTGTTCCGGGGCTACAAAATGGCCACCGGAAGCCCTAAAATGGCCGCGCGCAGCGTTTTTGCACCCTCATTAAGCGAGGGGAGGGCGCAAAAATGGTTGCCGGCCATAGGGAAGCATCACTGAACGGTGAGTATTCGGCCCAATTGGAACGCATTAAACCATGCTTAATGCGTTCCAATGGCTTTTCCTGCTCCGTTCAACGATGCTTTCACACAGCGAGGGTTAATCCGGAACGGATTAACCTCGCTGTGCGAGGCACCACTGTACTTGAAAGGCTGTCATACAGAGGAGGGGCAGGATCTCTTCTGAATCATCACAGAGTGCAGGACATGCAATAATGGGCTCAAGTTAGAGGAACCCAAATTTTGATTGAATATCAGGAAAAACTTCCTAACTGTTAGAGCAGTAAGAGAGTGGAACCAATTACCTTGAGAGGTGATGAGTGATCAAACACTGAGGAATTCAAGAGAAACTTAGACAACCACCTGGCAGATATCCTTTGATTTGTATTCCTGCATCAAGCAGGGGGTTGGACTAGATGACCTCATAGACCCCTTCCAGCTTCACTATTCTACAATTCTTTTATTCTATGATTGTCCCACTGTCATTAAATTTATCAGGACATCAAAATAATAAAAAGATTGAGCTACGTAGTGGCAGAAATCCTGTTGTGTCTTCATAACTTGAAGCAGTATGTACCCTAGAAGAATTTGCACCAAGAGTGGTTAAATATACCAGATGGGCGGGATATAAATCGAACAAACAAACAAACAAACAAACAAACAAACAAATAAATAAATACCCTCGAAAAATTTCTACCAATTGCCCAGTCAGTGCAAGGTTCCTTATGCAGTCAGATATGTGGATTGTCTGGGTGTAACTTGCTGTGAACGTCTGCAGGTGTATCTTTACGTGTGACAAGGGCAGTGGGATTTCACCCATTGTGGAGTAGAGCAGATTTCTGACATGTAGTAGAGGAGCACTTTGTCAAAGTTTAATATAAACGGTTGTTGTGGGTTTTTCGGGCTCTTTGGCTGTGTTCTGAAGGTTGTTCTTCCTAGTCTCTATGGCCGGCATCTTCAGAGGATAGCACTCCGTGCTCTAATATAAATGTTTCATACATGATAATAATGTTGCAGTGTCAGTCGCTCATGTATCAATGAATGTTTTATGAAAGGGTCTATATGTTCTTTGCTTATGATTTGGAAGCAAAACCTATTGAGGTAGAGTCAGACCCTTCTGCTATGAAAGCTTAATATATGTCTAAGGAAACCCTCTCTTGCTTCTCAAGGTCCTTGCTGGCATGTATGCTTATATTCTTGTGGAAAGCACTGGCCGATTAGGAAATAGTCTATTCTACTTAAAGTTTTCTCCCCCCACTTCTTTCCATTTCCTGTTGCATTGCCTTAAGCCCTAAGAAAACTCAGTTGCTTATATAAATAAATATTTTGAATATGATTCTAAGTATCTTTTCCTCTCTCTGTCCCCTTTTCTCCTCCAGCAACTTGAATTAGTGGAGCCAAGTGGTTGGATTCATGTTCCCTTAACTGATACACACAAGAAACCTATTCGCACTTTTATGATTCAGATTGCCGTTTTAGCCAATCACCAAAATGGAAGAGACACTCATATGCGACAAATCAAGGTGTATACACCAGTGGAAGAAAGTTCTATTGGTAAATTTCCCCGATGTACAACAATTGATTTCATGATGTATCGTTCAATTAGATAAACATATAACTTTTGTAATTTAATTATGGCAATCTATTTTTGTATAATTTAAAAATAAAATCTGGTTCTTGCTCTGTTTTGTTGCTATGTTTACTACCATTTATTTTATTAACATTAATTTATTGCTTTTTCTTTCTAAGAAGCAGAAGATGAATATTCTCACAAGCTTCTTCAGAATTCTCTGTTAATGTACATTATTGCATTAACTACATTGTAAATCTGAGCCTCCCAAGAGGTTACTTTTTTGGACGTCATCTCCTAGAAATCCCCAGCCTACCTGGCTGGCATGGTCTGGGGAATTCTGAAGTCTTTGTCCAAAAGTAGCTCTTCCAAGTTCTGCCTAGAAGGTCTTTGCAGAATACTATGTGTCAAAGTTTAATGCTACATAGCAGGGCTATCCCCCTCGTATAGTGCCACAGACACCATCATTCCTCAGCTTTGACCAAACTAGATAAATGTACTGGGAGTTACAACACAGCAATATGTGGAGTGCTACATGTTCTCCACCCAGCTTCAGAATGTGATGAGATCAGATAAAGTATCTCTTAGCACCGGCATTCTTGCTTTACATGGTACACTGAAGATTTGAGACAGTTGCTCTACCAACCTCATTCAGGTTAAGAAAGCTCACAATGTACCCACCTAAGCCCCTTGTCCCCAAATTTTGAGCTGTTATATTTGTGTGGTTTTTTTTTCAAAGCAATGGTGATAAGGGGGAAAATTTGGAATTGTGTTAGGATAGTTCTGATCTAGGCAAATAGCAAAAAGCAACTATATTCCATCTGCATGTTCCTCGATATTGTGAAATAGATGTCTGTTTCATCACCCCTCAAAATTATACAGAGTCACACCATTGTTTTTACCACAGCAGTAGGAAAACCAATGGGATAAATCAATATTTTTGAACTGTGAGGACAGGGATGGTGACCCACAAGCCCCTGTCAGCAGGTCATCTCATCTCTTCCTTAGACCTGCTGAATTTCCCATTAAGAGTTCTACAAATAGAATTGGGGGAGATCATTTTAGATTGTGATGTCTCAAAGGAAAGAAAGATCAAGGAATATCTCAAGGCACAAGTATGACTAGAAATAATAGAAAAGGTGGGCAAAACTGTGGAGAGCCCAGGAACTGGAAAAACCTGGGAAGGAAAGATCAACTGCTGGAGGGGGAGGAAGCCTTTGAGAATTCGGAACTATAAAAGAGGGCTTGGAGCCAGCAACAGGAGACCAGAAAGAGGGAGAAGGAGACAAGGCAGACACATCTGTCCACACTGTGGACTGAGTAAGGGATGAAGAGCAGGAAAGAGGAAGAAGCCTGGGATGGCACCATAGAAGGTCCCGAGATGGAATCTTATCAGCTAGACATGGAGAAGCCAGAAGAACCTGAAGAACTCAAGTTCAATCACAACAGGCTCAGGTAGCCAGCTCAAGGCTGACTCAGCCTTCCATCCTTCTGGGGTCAGTAAACTGAGTATCCAGCTCACAGGGAGTGGGGGCAATGTGTAGACTGCATAATTAACTTGTAAACCACCCAGAGAGTACTGTGCTATAGGCTTTTTGCCTTTACAGTTGCTGGATGGGTCTCCAAATGTGAGTGTGCTCCCCAAGCAGAAAAAAGTTTCTTGCTCAGAATTTCTTGGGGGCCTGCTGGTTTTATGTATCCCAATCATTTATAGTAAATTAAGTCAGTAACATTTCTATTTCCAACATAGAAACCAAGGCTTCACTGGGATGTTTTACTTTATCCTAATACATTTATTTGACCTGGATTAATTGTGAAAAACAAGTGTGAAGACTTCCAAAATTTGCTGATATGTGAATCCTGTAGTATAGAGCAAAACCCAGGAAGGCACTCTATGTATCATAAAAAACAAAGTTTATTGCTCAGGTTTATTGCCAAAATCAAATTTTCACAGTAAAACAATAATATAGCCCTAGTCCTGGGTGAATGCTTAATATTCTCAGATCTTGTTTCATACCTCGTGAGCCTCGTGGCGCAGTGATTAAACCGCTATACTGCAGCCAAAACTGTGCTCACGACGTGGGGTTCAATCCCAGGTAGCCAGCTCAGGGTTTACTCAGCCTTCTATCCTTCCTTGCTGGGAGGGCAATGAGTAGCCTGCATAATTAACTTGTAAACCGCCCAGAGAGTGCTTGAAGCGCTATGGGGTGGTATATAAGCAGCATTAACTTGTAAACCACCCAGAGAGTGCTTGAAGCGCTATTGGGCGGTATATAAGCAGCACGTTTTGCTTTGCTTTACCTACCTCTGTGAAGTTTTTGAAATTAAGCCTTAATTGGTTTTAAGCACTTTGCTTAACTGAACATGAATTCGTGGACAGGAGTTGATAATCCAAAAGTGTATGAAATTGTCTATTTCTCTATATACTAATAGTAACTGTGATGTTGCCATTAATCCTTACTCATGATTGATGAGGCTGGTGCCTAAATGAATTGCTACAAAGCAAGGACTGTAAGTAATGCTCCCTTTAATTTTTGCCCCCGCTGCGTGGAAGCCACATTCCATGTACATGGGCAGGGTGGGGTTTCATTCGAAACCTCAAAGTAAATGAGCATTAACACTGACTGCACGGTTCTGATGGAGTACTGTGTGCATGTTGCTTAGTGGGAACAATGATTGTAAGTACCTACCTACCTAGTAGGCATCCTTCAGTCTCGAGAGACTATGGTAACCTGCTCTGAATAGAGAGGTCTTGGAACAGCATCTAGTGTGGCTGAGGCCAATTGGAGAGAGAATCCCTCCCACACTGAAGACAAATACAATCTGTCCCCTGTCCAGCTCCCTGATTTTGCTGGTTTCAGGACTGCCTCTTGTAAGTATTATGTGTAAGTGTTATGTGCTCTTTTATGATGTCAGCTGAGAGGATCTAATATACTGTATCAACAAATAATTACCCTGAATCTCAAGCTCTTATTTGGTGCATTCTGAATGTACTGGCCTGGATATCCTTAAAGTTCAAGTTACTTAGCAGCTAAAATCCTGTTGCTCAGCATAATAAGTCACACTATAGTAGACCCACTGAACCAGTGAGGGTTTTGTGGATCAACTCCTTTGTAAGTTCCATTAATTTGGATGCGTGTACTCTGTTTGTGACTTACTATGCTAAAGTGCAAAAAATAAAGTACTGTAAGCCCATCTGAATTAATAGAATTTACAGAACAGTTGACTCACCAAATGACTGATTTGATGGGTGTACTCTAGTTGCAACCTACTATACTAAGCAACGGCTTCAGCCACCACTTGGAAACCTCAGTTGAAATTATAGGTGAAACTCAAAACAATTTCAAATTCTGCAAGCTCATTAAGAGCAATAATGCATGACAGGCTAGTCATTAAACATATTTTGGTGGCCAAATAATGCTTACCCTTCTCAAGGTGATACCACACTAAATACTGTGGCATTACTTTTTTAAAAGCCTCTATGAAAAAACTTTGACTAAGGACACAGCAATTTGTTTTCAATATCTTTGTAAGATAGCTCTCAAATTTGCTTGTGTTTTAATTTCTAAATTATAATTTTAAAAAAATAGATCTCAGCAAGAGGTAATGCCATCTTGCCCTTTTTGGTGAGCATGAATGATTGGTTTAACAGAAATGCACTTGATCTATTCACCTCTTGAAAGTAGATTAAATGCCTTAGTAAATATGGCATTAAGATACTCTGTTCTACAAAGCAGCTAACACGTCAGGTTTCTGAGGAAGCTAAATATCTTCTGCCACCCAAGTAGCATATTCATGGACAAGTAAAACAACCTCGGAGCTTAATGCTGTCACAATATATGGCCCTATTATTGCCTATTTTCCTTTGTAAATTCTTTAGGAATTCAGTGTGGCCTCCACCAATGAATGTGGCAGGACAGAAAGACAACGAGGTAATGCCGTTCACTCTAATGTGATTTATGTAATTTAATTCTTACTTTACTGTGCCTCTCTTAATCCTCCTACGCCTCAAAATTTAATAAGCCCTTTGCACATCTCAGTTGGATAAGTTAAATGAGGCTGTTTGATGATAACTGTTGCACATTTCTGGATAGATGGTAACCCACAACTGAATGATAGAGTTCATTCAGGTGGGTGTCTCGTTCATGGTCCAGCAGTGTGTGGCAGTGATCCATCTTTGCTCAGTGAGTAACAGATATGATACGCTTTTGCATGTCATTCTAGTGACTCTGGCTTTTCAGGTATTGATATTTAGAAGTCAAATCCCAAGTAATTTGAGTAAAGAACGAAGAACATTTTCAAGCAAAAGTCCTGCTTATCATCCAGGATACCTCTGAGGCAAAGCATATGACACATTTATACTATTAGCTCTTGAACTTTAAGAAAGGTTACACATGTGATTTTACGTCCCTGCTGTGTTTTCTCCATCTTCCTATCCTGTCTCTTCTTACTACTGTAGGATCAAGCTTGGGTTGGCATCACACCTTCATGGCAGAGCACAATTTTTAAAATGTATAATGCTGCAAATTTACTTCCTCATATAGTTTAAATGATCAGAGCAGATGACTTGAAAGATGGTTGTCTAAGACCTAGAGAATCACTATTTTGTTAAGGTACACAGTACTGGCCAATTTGGATAATAAGCTGGCAGGGTTTAAGGCTGCCTTATTATGTGCTAGAATAGCGGTACCCAACCTTTTTGGGGCTGCGGACCGGCTGGGGGGAGCAAGCTCCACATGCGGGGTTGGTGGGGGTATCCCCACACGAGTGTGGTGAGCATGTTGTTTGTGCAGGGGTGTGTCATGTGCATGGGGGGCGTGTCGCACTTGTGTGCATGCATGTGGGTGAGACCCCCGCGGGCATGACACACACCACGTGAGCTTGACACACTCACTGCGCATGCATGCAGGGGACAGAGATCTGTATCAGCGGCCCAGTTCCAGCAAGCCCACGGACTGACACCAGGCCGCGGACCGGGGGCTGATGACCCCTGTGCTAGAATATCCAAATATTAAAGACCTATGTGTTTTTGAATCTCATAGAGACTCGATTAAAGGCATGTTAATGCAATGTGCTTTTGAAATAAGGAAGATTTATATTATTATATGTTTTACTGAT